CTTATTCTACTGAGCCATCTCCCCGGCCCCAGCACTTTCAACCAGTCAATTTACCCAATAAAGCAACCAGTCTTTTAAAAATTTATTATTTTTATGTATTTAGTACAGGGTCTACAGGGTTTCACTACACAGATCCGACTCCTAGTGATCCTCCTGTTTTCAGCCAAGCGCTGGGATTACAGACATGTGCCACCATACCCAGTCTCAATTCCTGTCTCAGCGTGCCCCAGGGGCAAGGCTGGCACAGCATGTCAGGGATCAAACCCTGGTCCCTGCACCTGCTTCAGTCCGATGAGCTAGCTATTTGGCCAGCCCCTAATTTATTAGTCAAAGACTTTTTTTTTTTTTCTTCCTTTGTGGTACTGGGGATCAAACTCGGGACCCTGCACTTGCCAGGCAAGCACTTAGACCACTGAGCTATCTCCTCAGCCTCCACATTTAAGATTTGTGATGTCTCAGCCTTCCCAGTGCTGAGATTACAGGTGTGTGCCAGCATGCCTGGTTTTGGTGGTTGGCATGGTGCGGGGCCCAGCGCAGCACGTGGTAACGGATTGAACTTGAGTTGTCCTGCTTGTCAGGTAGGTGCTTAGACTGTTGAGCTACTGCCCTAGCCTGGCAACCACAGTCTTAAAAACAGTCTATCAAGGGAGATTTGTTAATTTGACCAGCTGTGTGGGTTACCAGTAGAAAAACCAAAGGTATTTTTAAAAAAAAATTATTTATTTATTTTACACTTATTTATTGTATGTGTGGCCAGCTCAGGCCACCAGGGGGCGGGGCTGGCTGCCATGTGGTGCTGGGGGATCGAACCGCAGTCCCTGTGCTTTGCTAAGCTTGTTCTAAGTAGGTGCTTTAGACCACTGAGCCATCTCACCAGCCCCATCCAAAGGCATTTTTATGTACACTCAACATCTTTTCAAATAAAATGTCCTTTTTTTTTTTCCCGTTTTGCGGAAACAGGGTTTGAACTCAGGCCCTTGCGCTTGCCAGGGAAGCGCTTGTTCTACTGAGCCATCTCCCCAGCCCCCCCCTTTTTTTTTTGGTATGGGGGATCAAACTCAAGACCTTGTGCTTGCCAGGCAGGTGCTTAAGCTGCTGAGCTATCTCCCTGTCCTCTAAAATGTCTACTTTTTACAGAAAGTTTTCAAAGTTCCTAGCTCTTAGGCAAGAATAAACAAGATGGTGCTTAAGAGTATAGGGTGGCCAGTGAGATAACTCAGCAGTCTAAAGCACCTGCTTAGGCAAGTGCACACGGACCGCAGTTTGATCCTGGCCACCACATGCCATGCCAGCCTGGCCCCCAGGATGGGCTAAGCCAGCCACACACACACAAAAAAAGACTACAGGGTGTCCTTAATTTTCTCTGCCACAAACATGTCTCCAGTTTTTCTAGAGTCATTTTTTTTCCTCATCTGAGCTGATTCACTTATGTTAGTACCAATTCATTGTAAATTTAAGAACCAGGGATTAGGGGACCAGGGAGATGGCTCAGTGGAATAAGTGCTTCCCTGGCAAGAGCAAGGGCCTGAGTTCAATCCCTGGTTCCGCCAAAAA